AACATGCTTTGGAGTAGCTTTACTCCCAGTGCTACTGGTGAGTTGCACAAGCAGAAGACAGGAGCTCTGCCTTCTGTAAATTCAGAAATTCACCCAAATCAACAGTTGGATTGTTAAACTTGGATACAATTAGGACAATGACATCAAGCACACTGAAACTGGTTCTGAAATAGATCATATGCACTAACAATAAGCTTATGAAACAGTCTTGGTCTAAAGCCCTGTTGGAAAATTGTAGATGAAAGCTTGGTCTCTGGCAGTGAAATAAAAAAATAAATTACATGTACTAGTTGTGCCATAGCTTGTAGACATTTTAAACTTTTTTTTTTTTTTTTACTGACCCTTATATTGTTGTTTATGTTTTGTTTTTATACTGCTCTTTAAAAAAAAAATGTTAATTAGTTTTCTTATTATATAGGACCATTTCCTATAAAACTCCCGGACTTGGGCTTAATGTTTCTGGAATCTTCCACCAGCTTCTCACAATAGATTGCTAAAACTTTGGCCCATTCCTTCGTGGCTCAAACCAAGTCAGGTTTCTATACACACAGCCTTTATCATTTCCCACAACACCAGTTGAAGATCCAGACACTCTTAGGGTCACTCCAAAAAACTGACCTTTTTGTCTTTAAACTTTGTGGCTAATTTGACTATTCGGACGACGCATTTGTGTTCAAACTTTACCTTCATGGCTGATGTCTGATGTTGCCCAGATAAACCTGACAAATTCAAGCAACTGCAGGTCCAGAGATCTCTTGCTATCTTGTCTGATTTCTCATGATGAAACAAAAGAGACTTATTTTTGGGGTGGATTTGTTTCACCTGGGTAAAATAAATTTGGAATGCTTTGTGTTCTTTCTATCTCCACTGCCCTAAAAGACCACAAACATTTTTATTTAAATAAGCATCATAATGTCAGACTAAGTTTGAACTGCATTACACCTCCAGAACAGTGGGTGGTGGTGATAAGAAACCATCCATCCACCCATCCCTCAATTTTCTATTCTTGCCTTTTCCATACAGAGATACACAAGACAAATAACCAGCTCATTTTAGGAATTCTATTAGAAAATTCTTGACGATAGAAGGTGGCCAGAGTACCCGAAAGAACTCATGCATGAATGGTTGAACAATAAACTCGATAATAGGGGAACAGCAAACCTTGACCTTTGAGTGCAGCAGAAACATATATGTCAGAAAATATTGCTGCACTTTTTTACTCAAGTGATATCTTGATAAACTGAACAGATATTTGAGTTTCACACAGCTATAGCCTTGTTTCTATTTTAAGACTTTCTCCCCCAAAAATCAGAGTATGACTTTTAGATGATCCTCTGATTGTTGATGAATGATCCTTGAAAAAATGTGGCTGTCTCTTATTGTTGTTGCCCTGAGAAGAAATCTATTTATTAGGGATCCTACTTGAACTAAAATAAGGAACGTTTAGTATGCTTTAATGTCAGACACTTAGAGAAAAATTTTGTTTGTAGCAATATCTAAACTCTTATATATGCCTGAAGTATACATACCTCAGTCACCCCCCATGACATTGGAGATGCTGCACAGGATCACTCTGCTTTGCACAAAGTCAGGACCTTCTCCCCTGACTTTGGAGGCCTCCTGGAGCTGAGCCATGGAGCTGCAGATCAGAGGTCACAATCAGTGAAAGTGTGTCTGTGTGAGTGAGATTCTGAGTTCACATTCTTTCTTTCATGCTGCAAGTGTGCATATGCTTGAGCATTGCTTTCCTCCTGGCACATGTGAAGCATTACAGTCTCTACCATGAGGCAGTATCCTGCAGATCGGCGCAGTCTGGATCACGGCTTTGGCGCTGCATGAAAAACGCTGTGACAGTAAGTGGACCCTGAAACACAAAGCAGACCAAGCATTCTTCACGGGTTCAAACTGTGTTGCACAACAAGCAGGAGGTGATAGGTTCCACCTCATTTGCAGTGGCCAAGCAGTCTCTTGTGGATGTGTAAAATACACAAGATTGACACAGAAATTTGATCTTTTTCACATATTTTCCTTGGAGTGTAAATTAGCCAAATTGCTTCCTAGTATGGGGCAGTTGCGCTCAACACAGTTCTGACTTTTAACAGATTGATTTTTAACTAATGATCTTTCCTTGAGATAAGTCAACTAAAGCATTGATCTTTATTTAAAAAAATAGATTTCAGCAGTAAGTTATCAACTCTTTGTCAAATTAGGTGCTTTATGACAGGATCTGTTTTCTTAAAATATCTTATGATCACAATGTTTACCAATCATGATAAAAAGCATCAAAATTATTTGAATAAAAATCAACATCTACTGTAGTAGCAGTAGCTCACACTGTAATCTGCAGGAAAGAATAATCATTTTTAATGGAGAACATATTCACGACTAAGGAAAGAAAATTCTCTATTAATATATAATCCTCTATTTGTTTTTTTCAAATAATTAAAACCAGAAGCATTGCAGAAGCTACTGTTTTATTACTTTATTAAACCTCCTAATGCATTAGGGAGTCTGTTGTGGAATATTCAGATCAGAGTATTTCACCCTCTTTTTCAAATCTATCTAAATTGTCAAGTCCTCTCTTCGTTTCATCCAATAGGTTTGCTCTATTATTCAGTACCAGGGTCTGAGATAAACACTGATAAAACTTGATTTAAAGTGAACATTTTCCATGTTGATTTGGGTATACTGCATGTTTTTTTAACCCAAAAACCCATCAAACACGCCTTTTTCAGGTTTACGATGGAGGCTGGAACATTTTCTTTATTTGAAATCTCCTGATGGCGGATGTCCTGGTGGAAGGCCAAGGACACGCTGTCTCTGCTTAGATTGCTGTCTCCATGATCCGGCCCTGGATAAAGCAGAAGAAAATTGATTGATGAAATCTCCAGATATAGTGGAGAATTTGTGACGCCATAAATCACAGTAGGGTTTTCATGCACTTTCATAAACCCTCTCAGTCAAGAGGGAAGAGGTGTTGTTCTACCTATCATTGTTTTATATCAAAACAACCGGAAATGAAAGCTCAATCTTAGCCTTTTCTGACCAAAGCATGCATTTAAATCTAAAGAATTTAAATTAAATAGACTCCTCCTGTTTATGTTTTTAATATTAGGAAATAAGAATGCACATGATGAGGATAATCATTGTTGCTGTTGGGACTGGTTGGCGGTCTCTAACAGTTTGAAATTATTTTTTAAATATAAATCCTTTTATTGTCCCACAATGGGAAAATTCGTCCTCTGCATTTTGACCCATCCCTTTGGGGAGCAGTGGGTTGCCATTGTGTGGCACCTAGGGAGCAATCAGGGGTAAGGGTCTTGCTCAGGGACCCAGAGTGGGTGCTGTGGGGATTGAACAGGGCACTTGCAACCTTCTCAGAGCACAAGCACACTGCTCTAACCACTAAGGCAACAATCACCAAATAAATATGAGAGTTAAATTGTGCATTCTTAGGATATATTTGAGGCTTTTTAAACAACTTTACCGGGGATGTCACTGGTCGCATTAGGGTTTTTTCTACACAAGCAGTAGATACACAAAATCCAAACAAGTGCAGTCAGCTCATGTGAAAAAAAACTTACATTTTATTTCAGTATAATATGAGACAAACGTCATAATTCTGACTTCAATCTCAGAATTCTGACTGAATTCTGACAGCTAACAAACATGTTAGTATCAAGCTGTAGCCATGTCTGTTTTAGAGACAAGCTCTCTTGTTTTAATCACCTTCTGCTCTTCCATTAATTAAATAGCATCACTGGGGACCCCTCAGGCACGTAAAAAAGTCACCTAATTCCTTCATTTTCCACCAGTGTGTTACTGGCCCTCCCAAGCAACTCACATCTTTGTCAGTGAAGCTGAGTGCTCCCACATCTCTTCCTTCATGGGGCCCATCTATATTAAGATCCACAATTCTCAGATTAAAGACAGAATTCTGAGAAAAAAAGTCAGAATTCTGAGATTAAAGTCAGAATACTAAAAAAAAACTGAATTCTGAGATTAAAGTCAGAATTCTGAGAAAAAATTGGAATTCTGAGATTAAAGTCAGAAATCTGAAAAAGTCAGAAACTGAAATTAAAGTTAGAATTCTGAGAAAAAAAGTCAGAATTCTGAGATTAAAGTCAGAATACTAAAAAAAGTCAGAATTCTGAGATTAAAGTCAGAATTCTGAGAAAAAATTAGAATTTTGAGATTAAAGTCAGAAATCTAAAAAAGTAAGAAACTGAAATTAAAGTCAGAATTCTGAGAAAAAAGTCAGAATTGTGAGATTAAAGTCAGAATTCTAAAAAAAGTCAGAATTCTGAGAAAAAAGTCAGAATTCTGAGATTAAAGTCAGAATTCTGAAAAAAGTCAGAATTCTGAAAAAAAGTCAGATTTTTTTTTAAAGATTAAAATCAGAATCCTGAGATTAAAGTCAAAATTCTCATGCTAAAATTTAAAAATTTTTTTTTTTTAAATCAGTTAACTAATTTTCAGTGGCCCTAATCCTCTAGAGAGAGAGGGGCTGACTGAAAAGGCCTCCATCCTGTTTTACTTTAACGAACTGGCGGCTTTTCTCCAGAGCCCGCAAATCTATCTGCAAGTGCAACTTTCCAGATAAAAGATAGAATATTTATTTATTTATTTTTTACTTTGACAAAAATTAAGCTTTGTGGAAACTTTTTAAAGAAACCATGTAAAAATTAGTACCATGATTGTTTAAGGTAATGTATTAATTTTCGTAAATTTTCCAAGGAACTAGATCTTTAAATGCGGATGTATTTATGTATTCGTTTTATTTATTTATTTTATTTTGGAGAATCGCGAAATTTGAAAAACAACCAAAGAAATGAAGTAAGAAAGAAGTGAAGGAAAAGCAGGAGGACCAGGCTGTGACAGAAAGCACCGCAGCTTTCTGCTCATCGGACAGACAGAGGCGCACCCAGGACTCACCCTCCGCCCACCAAACCCCTCCCCTCCTCTCCAAACTATTTAGCATCTGAAGTTGGACGAAGTTTCCCCAACTTTTTCTTTTTTCAAACTTAAAAAAAAAAGCTTTTGCAAAAGGAGACGTAGGCCCGCAGCCAGACTGAGCTCAGTTTGTTGGAAGCCCAGCATCCCTGAAGACCTTCTCCTCATTTTAAAGGATTTACTTTTATTCTGTAACCACGGCTTCGAAGGTGGACACCGTGTTTTCCTCTCTGTCTCTTCATTTCTTCAAGAAAGAGATGGAAGAGGGCTCCAGCTCCCCGCTCTCCCCAGTGGATAGTCTAGTGACGAGCGAGGAGGAGCCGGAGCGGCAGCAGAAGCGCTTCTCCAGGAAGAGGAGGCACAGCAAGAAGTCCGGGGAGGATAGCAGCGGCAGCGGGAGCAGCCCCGGACCCGCTCCGGTGAAGCGGGGTAAGAAGCCCAGCCCGAGCAGCAGCCAGTCCTACGAGGAGCTGCAGAACCAGCGGGTCCTGGCCAACGTCCGGGAGCGCCAGAGGACTCAGTCTCTGAACGAGGCCTTCGCTTCTCTGCGCAAAATCATCCCGACGCTGCCGTCGGACAAACTGAGCAAGATCCAAACGTTAAAGTTGGCCTCTAGGTACATAGACTTCCTGTGCCAGGTGCTGCAGAGCGACGAAATGGACAGCAAGATGTCCAGCTGCAGCTACGTTGCGCACGAAAGACTCAGTTACGCGTTCTCGGTGTGGAGGATGGAGGGCGCATGGTCCATGTCAGCATCCCACTAGCAGAGACCAACACTCACAATGCCAAAGCGGTCGGTATAGACTACTGAAACCTAATTACTCTGATCAATGTGTCAAATAAAACCAGGATTTTATACTTTCTATCCAATTTTAAAAATATTCTCTTTAAGAAAGACTTAATTGGAACTGAATACTGACAGATAAAATGTGCTGTTCATCAGGAAATAAAATGATTGAAAGATGAGGGATTGTAACTAAACATTTTATAAATCTGGCCCAAGGTATATGTAAACCAAGCAGCTATTTAGGGCATCAAAAACATCCAGGACAGCTTAATATCTCATGGCACTACTATATCAATGTCAAAACTTCATACTTGTGAAAATTCCCTCTGATAAAAAACAAAAAATAGATAAAATGTTTGGTTCACATGATAGTTCTCTACTGAGGTTTGAATTTCAATTCACTTTAAGAGCTTTAAAGGCAAAAAATAGTCAAAAGGAACAGTATAAATTCCAAAAGATTTAAAATATATATTTATATAGCTGTACTTATTTTGGTATTTTATTTTTTGATCATTGGCTAAATATTTGCAAACGTTTAAAAGCATTAAAATGCTATAAAATATAAATAAAAGGGGCGAGGCCGAGAATAGTGATAAAAGTGAACCTTTGAGGAAGTAAATAACACTTTAAGGCATCTAAAGCAAGCGCAATTTTATAATTCCTTTAATTAATAAAGGATATATTTTTTTGAACAAAATTAAAATCACAAAAATCCCAATGAGGAATAAAAATACTGGATGAAAGAAATAATAAAAACAGATATCACTAAAGTTAAACATTAACAAATTGATTTTAGTTTCTTGGTTTATGATTTGAGATATACTTACAATATTGCGTTTGAAATAGTCTGAAGGTGGGATTCATGAGCAATTTAATATAAAACCTCAGTATTGTCTTTCTATCTATATGTTGTTGTACGTTATATATATATATATATATATATATATATATATATATATATATATAGTGCAGTTTCTATTTTTTTATATCTCTTCTGAGAAAAACATTTTTATAAACTCTCCATAAAAAATATAGTTTAGAGTATGTACTGGATTTACAGCCTCGAATTTGCAAGTCTGACAAATAAAGGTAACTATATGACATGAATTAGGATTACAGTTTCATTAGAACTCATTTTAAATGTGAAACACACAACTGTTGCATCTTAATAAATGGAGATTAGAGGTCCTGCGGTGCTTAGTTTGAATTTGATCATACTGGCAGTGGTGGGCCCCAAAAATTTTATTGAGCTCAAGGCCCAATGCCACCTTTGACCGGCACTGGCATCTCCTGAATGTCCTCATCTGAACAAAAAACAAAACAGCAGCTTCCAAGCTTTGGCAGAACAGAACCGGTACCAACCTAAGCTGTTAGGTCCATCTAATTAGATGTTCAGGTCAGAATCCATCCTATTTCAACCAGAATGACGTGTTAAACCTCAGATATATGACTCTCATCTTTGTTGGCAATGAATGGGGTTAGAAATGCAGAGGGGGACACCTAAATAAGCGCAGCAGCTGTGGTGCCATGATGCCATCACGGCTAATTGACATCAACATGGAGGCTTTTCCTGCGCGCAGACCGCAGGAATGGGCAGCTCGGCTGGACAGGAAATGTTCAGGCCGATGCAAGATAATAAAAACAGGCACGCATTAACGAGCAGGTTTTTTTAAATGTAGATATAGTTGTTTTTTATGTAGATGTGCAGCCTGGTTGGTGTGTCTTTGGAGTGTAACTAAAAATGTTATTTATTTGTCCAATTTCAACTGCTTTTAGCTGGTAAAGTTTTTAAGAACTGCTTTAAATGGATATATATTAGCAGACGTATAGGTTTACATTTATAGTTTTACGTTTACCACCCAAACATTTGAAAATGTAACATTTTTAGCTCTTATTAAGCCTTGTATAATCATATGTTATAACCTTTCAGCTATTTCCACATCGATAGACTATAGGCTAAAACAAAACATATTTTAACCAAATATTTTAACTTATTTTCTATTAAGACAATAGGTAGTAGTCTGTATGTATAACATTTGTGTTTAAGATCAAAAAGCGTCATGTGAGCTGTGTATTTAGGTTTAATTTATGATCCGAACACCAATTTATGTTTTTCCTGGTAAGAGAAAACCCATTTGTTATATGGTCAGATTAAATAGAAAGTTTTGTGTGATTCTAGGCTACTTACCCTAATAAAGTAAATTCTAAATGTAAAATGAAACTATTTAAAATTATTCATTATAGTGATCTTTTTAATTTAATGCCTGTATTATAATTATTTTTTAAAAGCATTGTTATTGTGGTCATTTCCAATTATGGCCTGGCAGAAATGGTTTCTATTCTTTCAGGATTGTGCCTCAGGTGCCTCCTACTAAATATGCAGCTGGACCAGTCACATAAAAAAAACGCTCCATGTGGTTTTACTCAGCTTAGAGGGTTTATAATTGATTCATTAACGACTTCCCTGTTACTCCCAGTGAAAAGTCTAATTTGTATGGTGTGCATTGCTGTGAATGTGTATGCAAAAACTTATTTATAATGTCTTTGCTTTTTTATGTTTCAGACTGTTTGCTTCCAAATGATGTAAAGAGATTATTGAAGAACTGATTAACCTCAGAGGCCAAGGATGGAGCACATGCATGATGTCAACAATAAGCGCAAACAACGTTTGTGTGTATGTGGGCGGACGCAGATTCATCACGCCGCGGAGGATTGAACTGTGCAAAGTGCAGAGCAGCCCAACACACATCAGTCAGCTGTGCGCATCTGCAGCCTGTACTCTCAACCAAAGCCATCCATTAAAATCAACAAAAAAACATGGAGATTTATTTTGTTTTCAAAGACTTTAAGCCAGATTCTGAATTTATATATAAATATATGAAATCATATTGTACATAATTGTGTAACTATATCCTGTAAAGGGACCAATGCAATTCGGAGTCTTTTCGCTGCATGGGGTTTATTCCAACAACTTTCCTCTAAGTTCCGTCCAGTTTCCACTGTTGTTTTTGCTTATTTATTAAACGGGTACTTTTTTAAAAACAAAGCAAAATAGGCTCTTCTTTGTTCCTATATGTTTTATGTTTTTTTTTTTTTTTTTTTAAGTCATAAAAATTACATCTAATGAGTTTAAATAAGAAAGTAGAACCGGTTCTCTTTAAAGGGAGTTTTCCCTTCTGTGTCTGGTGTGAGAAGTTGCCCTTTCCACTCCCCTCTGCGCTTGTTATAGAGGAAAACTGTAAAAAAAAGAAAACAGAGCCTATAAAGATTCAGCTTCATTAAGAGCACAGGAAATAAAGCTCAGCCACATTAAGTGTTTGTGTTCTTTTAAAACCAAATAATCAGCGTTTAAACCGGGATTCCATTGACCACAGATAAGGGCAATAACTCCACCTAAGGCTTAAGAGAAGAAAAAGTAAATAAAAGACCCTTAAACTACGACTGAATAAATTCTTTTGAATTTTAAACATTCTGTTTACATCCAGCTTTCCCAGACGTGGTTCTAGATGCAATCTGAGCGTAAAACAGGAGCCCATTGTGGGCTGATGCGTTCAGGGACTGTTGGAGCTAACCGGTGCTCTGTAAGAAACATGAGAAATAAAACTTGAATCTCTCACATTCTTATCCTGTAATATAACTTTATTTTGGCGTAAGAAAAATTGTTAATGTTGCTTTAAAATAAAGTATTGTCCAGTTGGGAAGAAAATGTTTTTCAGCTCTCAAGGTGGAAACACCTGTTTTTTTTTTTCATGAGAAAAGGTTTGAACAAAACCTAAATAATTTAAATAACCCAGAAGCAATAAATAAAATCAATTTATGTCATTTTCTAAAACTAAAAAAGGCAAGGTGCTTTGAGAATTTGGCTAAGTGTGAGTCTCAGTTCTTTGACAGCGATACTCCAAACTACAACTGAAAAATATGTAGATGTATTCTACTTTTGGGTGTTTTGAATGCATCTGTCTAGCTGCCTCTCTACAGCAAACTGAGCCGCAAAATGTTTGTTTTCTACAATCTTGGAAGACGCTAATGCTTTCTTTGCTGATGAATAGTGTCTGACATGCAAAGAATATTTATATCAGCTGTTAGTTGAAAAGGTAACATTTAAAGTCAACATTTCTTTGGTAATGTCAAAGTCTGTCTTTCCAACTTTCAGATGTTTAGGTCTTTGTGTTCACTTTGATTTATCTATACAGCATTGCCAAATCACAGCAGATAGCACCTTAAGGGAGTTCAAAACCGCTCCAATTTTTCCACTTATCTAACACTGTAGAAGCTAAGCTATCTTTTCAATACAGCTCATTCAGAGCCAATCCTAATTTATATAATCCTAATTATGATACACTATAAAGAAAGTAAAGTGAAGAATATATATAAAAAAGAACGGAATACTTACTCTGCAGCAGGAACATTATATAAATACACATTTCTTGGTTATTTACAAATACATTTTTACAGTGTATGTATATAAAGAAATGAAATATGTCCTTTGAAAAATTTGGGGGGGTATTATGAAGTAAATTTACATTCCTTTACATTGTAGAAAGTAGACAGATATTGTGCCAATTAGCTGTACTTTGTAAATGTCTGCTGGGAGCTGTTTTGGCTGCACAACCTTACAGCTGCTATGCTGCTCCAAAACACCAACATCTCTTTGCTTTTGAACAGATTTCTTTTTTGGGGATGTTGGTCAGTGGCCAGCTCTTTTGATTTTACTATGTAAAAGAAAAGACACATCTGAACCTGACAGGTCTAGAATTCAACATCTGCGCTTTAAAATGTTCTCAATATGTCTGAAATTAAGGGTTTAATAGATTTATTCTGAGGTGCTTTATTTTTATTTTTTGACAATCGTGATGTTCAAAAGGCTACTTCTTAAACAATATAATTTGTTGATGTGTACTCTAAACACAGTGATTTGTGCAATGCTATATTTGAGTTGGAAGCTTTTCCCAAACATTCCAATATCATGTCTTTCAGGAATGATGAGGCATTTCCTGCAAGGAGACGGGTCAATGACTAAACTTACTCCTCCTGATTCAATGGAAATATATAAAAAAATGTGATTTCCTCAAAAATAGGAGGGAATCATCACCGCCGGCCTTTATTTCTGCATTTCCTACCGGAGTTTATTTTATAAGAAGAAAATTGTCAATGAAATCATTCTGGACTTATTAAAGATGAACAGATGCAAGAGTCTGCAGTCACTTTCGGCTTGGTGGTCTCTGAAGCTGCCAGGCAGCCTTCCTACCAAGGCCGGCTTTATCCGTAGGAGCCCGTTTGATACCTGCTCATTATCCCGGGCCCTCACAGCTGAGCGGCTCAGAATCACCCTGGGGCCAGCGCTCCAGTGGTGCAGGAGATCCAGATGTTTCCCGTAAAATCCGACGGAAAAAGCTACAAAACTTTAATTTGCAGTAAAAAGGGGAATAAAGTAAAGGTTTACGTTCTGTGTGTCATTGATGGCCCTCTGTGTTTGCTTGGTTCACTTACAAAAAAAAAATAATAATAATTAAAACTTTAAATTTCTGCCACTTTGGAGCCTGATGTGAGGCTGAGGAAACAATGTGTGTCAGTTGTGTTGGCTATGATCCCTTCAACAGAAAGGCCTGACACATGCAGGCTTCACTCTGATTGAAAGCATACAGTAGATTCCTGCTTTGTTTTCCTTTTTTATTGATTCAAAAATGGGAACATTTGCACTCTGATAGACAGTAGATTCTTATCTAGAATTTAAATAATACTTTTCAGATTTTACTTACTTTTCCACAACTCAGCAGCCTAATTTCCTGTGATTTTCTGGGTGCTCTTCTGGAGCCTACAGACTCTTTCTCACAATATTCATCATTTAACTATCTTTCTCTGGTCAATTTTCCAAAACCTTTATAAGAAATTTTATCCATCCAACCAATTTCTGGATCCCTTATAAAATGTAGTGAACTCTTTTCAGGTCTACAGTATTCCTTCTTGGAATTTACAGGTCGCTTCCCTGAAATGTCCATGTTACTTCCTACTGTTTAAACTAAGAAGATGCTTAATTTATTACAGAATTATTTGCACAACTTAGAGGGCACGTTCCTTAGACTGTTAGGGGTTACTTTCTGGATCCTAGATAATTTCTCCCCGTAGCTTAAACTTTCTAGAACACACAAGAATTTTCTCCACACACCAAAAAAAAAAAAGTTCTGGAATTTACAGCCTTCTTTCTAGATATTGCTAGAATTTCTACATTATATCATGCTGCAAATATGTAAAAAAAGCCACAAAGGACACAGAGAAAACTTAATGGGTGGAGGTTCCTTAATAGAACAAGTGGATTTATTAAGCTAATGTAACTGAATTAGTTTCACAAATTCACCTCAACTGCAGAAAAACTTGCTGAACTCACACTTTTATGCTTTCTTTTTGTTTTTTGTTTTGCTTTTTCATTTTCAATTTTCACAACCTTTAGTAAATTTTTGGCAATCTCACTTTTTAATTGTGAAATTATAAAATCCTTATCCTGTCTTGCAAAAAGAACACTTCAAACGATTAAAACCTAAAAAAAAATTAACATTTATGTCAACTGTTTTTAAACTGCAGGAAAATATTGACCCTGATAAAACCAAGATTTAATTCTTGTTTTAGACTTTACAGATGTGGATGCTTGAATTACTCAGGAAGAGCAAAACAACAGCGTTACTTAGCCTGATAAATATGATTTCTTGTACTGATATGATGTAAATTTATTTTAGGGAAAACACCTGTTATAGTGTCACAGTATTCAAAAACTGCTTTCTAATTCCACATGATTTTTCAAGTCCTCCAGTGATTTACTGTACCTAAGAGAACAGGTTAGGTTTCTGTAATTATTCTCCCAGTTCATTTAAACACATTTTAGGTTCACAGGTCTTGGTCTAATAGAAACCACAAGACTTCAGGATAAAATGTTTTTGGGTTGAATGTGCAATTATAAAACTTAATAAAGCATATGAAGTGGTGAGGGATTTGTTTTGCAGAAATGAGATCTACTCTAAGCACATATCACGATCTAAAGAGCTCCATTACTTCTGCAATATATTCATGTGTTCAACAGAGAATGGCTTGAAAAGCTTGGAACAATATACTTGACCCAAACAAGCAACAGTCCGTAAAGGAATCCTTACAAAAGGAAATAATCAAAGCCTTGGACGCCAACCAGTTAGCCTTACCCTGCAATGAAGAAATGCAGACTGTGGCATTAGGACTCGGGCTGAAACATATTCACCTCTCGTGCAGAGGGCTGACACATATTTTTATGCTCTTCTAAAGGACGATCCACTTTTTTCATTTTACCTCCACCTTTCAAAGCTAACTGTATGAAATCACAGAATGCTATAGTACCAAGCCATCCTGTCACCATCAGGCCTCATCTGGCGATTCATCAGGTGGCTCAGTTTGATTATACAGCTGTAAAGAATGTGTACAAGGGGAGTCATATTTCTTTTACTCTCTGAGTAATGCATAAAAAAACATTTATTTGTGATATCTCTGTATGAGAAAAGACTTTGCATCTGCTGATAGTATAAAAGCTGAACCTTTTATCTGCTTTATGACTCAATAAATCAATCACTTTTCTGCTTTCTGTTGAATCAAGGACCAAAACTTGAATGAGGACATGTCAGCATGCACAAACAAAGCAAGTTATGCTGCAGTTATGTGATTGAAACAATAAACGCAGCTGGAGAGAAGGATCGCATGAAGGGCAACTGGAAAACGTTTACCAGTAAAACCTTTCCAAGTCCAGTGACAGCTAAACAACACAGGAATCAAAATCCAATCTGACTAGCGTGTGGTCAGTGTTTCAGATGTATACAGTGTTTATTCCTCCCTGACAGTCTTGTAGGACAAATACTGGCACAGAATCCCAGTTTGAGACAACAATGAAACAACAAAATAGGAAACCATTTGGGAGTATTTGTTGCCAGCGAGGCAGAACTTAAGCCCTGTTGGGGGTGTGGGATGGGATTGGGGTGTATGTTTGGAAAGTAACAGGCCAACTTTCTTCCTGTCTTCCTTTTGTAGGTCATTAACACAAGTGATGACTGTAGGGGTCACCAGAGGTTCCCAGGTCATGCCACTTCAGGAATCTGAAGGTCTCACCTCCCACAAGGGAGACGGGAACTAAACTGATATAAATAGCTGCTGAATCATTGATCCAACAGATGAGTAAAGCTGTCAGAAACAGAAAAAATGTATATGGTAGATACAGCTGGGCAGCTTGAAGTCTTCA